CCCACAACTACCACAGTCCTGCTGGTGCCCTTTGCCCACCCCACCCACAGCTACTGCTCCCCCAGCCCTGCCAGAGGGAGCCCCCAGCTGCCAGAGCTATGGGGCAGATCCAGGTCCACAGCCCCCTACCCCTGACAGAGGCAGCAGCTGCTGCAGTGGAACGGAGCCCGGCTCCCTCTCTGCTGTCTGCTGGTTGCCCACTGTGGGCTTGGGAGGGGCTGCTCCCAGCCACAGTGTGTATTCCCAGTGGCAAGGGGACCCATGCCTTCCAGGTCTGTGTGCGGGGCCCATGCCCCCCAGGTCTGTGCATGGGGCAGGGGCTGCCTGCTGCCGGCTCCTGCCCTGCTGCCCTCCCCCAGTGCCTCTGCAGCCCACCTTGTGCAACATGGTGCTGCAAAGAACAACGGAGCCATGCAGAAGCTGCCTACCGTTACAAGTTTTGCACTACCCTGGTGATGCATCCCATGCCTGCACAGCTGCAGTGGGGACAGCACCACAGGGTTGCACACAGAGAATGTGGGCAGCATGGATCTTGTAGCAGCAGGCAACTTCTTGCATGGATCTGCTGTTCTTTACAGCATCAGGTCACACACACTGGACTGCGGAGGCCTCAGGGAGGGCAGCAGGGCAGGGAGCATGAGCCTGAAGTTGTCAGCATGCATCCCCCTCCCCATGCACAGATCTCGGGGGGGGGGTCCCAGGAGTGTGTGCAGTGGTGTAGAGAGGCCCCCCCATCCAAGCTCACAGCAGACAGCCTGCCCTGCCCCCAGATCATGGGGGCATGGGCCACCCTGCCCTCTTGGGACTGTGCGCAGCAGCAGGGGGCCAGCCCTGCCCCCCTCTGTCCCCCACGAGTCACCTGCAGCCTCGTCCTGCTCCCTGCTGGGACCCTACAGCCGTGGATTGTGTCCCCTAGGCCCCAAGACCCAGGCACTGTCCAGCTGAACAGCAGACCCAGTCCCAGCCCTGCTCAAATCCGTTCCTCCCTCTAAATGGGGGCTTCAATCTCCACCCCCACAGCTATCCTGCAGG